GGGGGGTGTCCCCTCTACTAGTTGCATAGTCCCAAATTCAAATCCATGTAACAAGTTATACTCAGAGAAATCTTGCTTCCATTCCTGACCTCTACAGGTATCCATTTTTGTTAATTTTTGTATGTCCTCTTTTTAAAAATATAAACAAATTGTACACACACTCACACATACATTTTTTTTCCACCTTTCTTTTTTTACTTATTATAATTTGAAGATATAGATTGAGTATATATGAGGCGGTCTTCAGAAAGTTTATGAAAAGACTTGTGTTATCTTTTAATTCTGTTTTCCAGACTTTTTGAAGTACCCTTATACTACTGATCTTTAATTCCATTTTTAAACTAACTTGTAATCTATTATTTGTATGTATCATTGTTTCTTCAACTGACAACTAATTGATGGAACTTTACAAATATGAAAAATCATGAAACAATTTTTATTTGTTTTTTCACATAGGGCCTGGGACTGCTTTGTTCGTTGCCTGGATCATGCTTATCTCGGCTCCCTTCTCAGTCATGTAATAGTGGCTTTGTTACCTCTCATACACATCCAGCCTAAAGAAACTGCAGCTATCTTTCACTACCTCATAATTGAAAACAGGTATTGTAACTGGAATTAATAATAAAACTACCACCTTTTCCACTGTATTTTTATGTATCAATATATTAAGATTTCTATTGGTAATGAGGAACTGTTCACTTTTTTTATTTTAGAGTCCATTAGTAAACAAAAGTAATTGGCATGCAATTACATATTGAACTGGTGTTATTTCGGTTGTGGCATTGCTTACATTATCATTATATTGAAAACTCTATTAATAGGTCAGTAGTTAAAAAATATTTTTTGTTCTGAAAGGATGAAGCCAAATTTACCTTTTTTCTCACAGTTAAAGGGCAGATTGTGAAATAGCATGAGAGAGGTTAGGAGGGATATTCATTTACTTTTTGCAGCTTACTTTAGTTGAATCTCTTATTACTTCATTGCATTAACCTTTGAGCCAGCTTCCATTCCTTTAAGCTTTTATCACTTTTCTTCATATTTGTTTTAGTCAATTTCTGTTGCTTATTACAAACTATTTGAAACTGAGTGATTTATAAAGAAAATGAAATTTATTGTTTACACGTCTGGTGAGAGCCTTGGTGGTGGCGACCGTGATGGCAGAGTATCACATTGCAAAAATGGTAGAGCAGAGAGAGGAGAGACTAACCTCCTCATTCTCATTTTAAAACCCTCCAAACCACACCCCTGACCACCATTATTAATTAATACATTCACTATAGCATGGTCCTACAATCTAATCAACTCTCCAAGGCCCCACCTTGCAATTACCAAAATGGGATTTCCCACACTCAGCAGTTACAGTGGGAGTTAAGTTTTGGAGGAATATCCAACCCAAGGCAATAATGTTGCTAGAACAGTCTTTTAAAAACATTTCTTTGTATCAAAGAGCATACAAAGGTGTTCTGTGATTCTCCATTTCCTAACTGATAAGTTTCAAATTGCTTAGCTTGATGTTCAAGGCTTTCCAAAATCTGGCCACACCTTATTTCTTAAAATCTTTTACTGTAGTTTTCCAAACTGGGCACTAGGCTATAGCCAATGTGGACTGCTATTGACAGAACTTGCATTACTCCTTCCCATTTGTATTTTTGACTCAGGCTACTTTTTAGCCTGGAATGTCTTCCTATATATTTTTTAATGTTTTCTGTTATTTCACTTACTGTTGTATATCACAGTTCCTTTGCTCCTGAAAAGTTAGGTTTTAAGTTCTACTTATTTGCCTGCTCGCCTGTGTGCTATTGCTATTCCTTTTAATCAGTTCCAGTAACTGTCCAGCCAGGCAGATAGCACACAGAAAGGAAAGGTTAATGTGTTAATGTGTTTTTATTCAACTAAAATACTTTTATTTTTGATATTTTGATATTTTGTACGTGATAGAACAACAAAATCACTAATTTAGGTCACTTTTTTGAATGTCTTTTAGATTGTTATGCAAATACAGTTATGCATCACTTAGTGATGGGGGTGGGTATACTTCTGAAAAATGAGTTCTTAAGCAGTTTCGTCATTGTGTAAACATCATAGAGTGCACTTACACATACCTAGATGGTACAACCTACTACACACCTAGGCTATATGGTGTAGTCTCTTGCTCCTAGGCCACAAATCTGTACAGCATGTTACTGTACTGAACACTATAGACAATTGTAACACAATGGTAAGTATTTGTGTATCTAAACATATCTAAATATAGAAAAGACAGTAAAAATATGGTATGATAATATTATGGGACCACCATTATGTATGTGGCCCGTTGTTGACCGAAATATTGTCATGTGGTGTGTGTCTATAATCATATCTTTGCTGTTTATTATAGAGGAATCATTTCTCTACATTTTTCATATTACAAGAAAAGTCCTTTTTCTCTCAGTGCTAGACAGAAGATTTAAGCTCCCTGAATGAAGGAATTATTTTGGCTTTGTTTATTGTTCTATCCCCAGCATCCCTCATAGTGTTTAGCACATAGTAGCACATAGTAGTTATTTAATACATATTTGTTGCATGAGTTAATGAGACTAGAATTTAGAAACACTTATACTTGGACCCAGAAAAATTATTTATTATATTGGATTCAAATTAAAAATTGTAACCTCAGTAAGGATTATTTTTATATTTTCACTGTAGTTCTTTATGAGAATTTGTTTGCGGCGAGGCTTTGGCCATTTATTACTACATTATAAATCACTCCAAAACCTAATGTCTTAGAACAATGAACATTTTTATTTGCTCATAATTTTGCAATCTGGGCTGTGCTCAGCTGTTCTGTTCTTCTGCTGGTCTTGCCAGTGGTCATAGGTGAGGCCACATCAGCTGGCAGAGACTGGTCTGGCCTTCTCCCTCTATCCATGCGGTCTCAGAGCCTCTCTCCCTCTATGTGGCTTGTCCATGTTGGTGGCCAGACTTCTTACATGGTGATTCAGGGATCTCCAGAACACAAAAATGGAGGCTGTCAGGCCTTTTTAACACCTAGACCCAAAACCAACACAGCATATCTTCTGCCAGTCTATTGGCTAAAGCAAGCGACATGCCCAACCCAGATTAAAGAGGAATAGACTATATATTTGGGTGTGCATACTGACAAGCATGGTTTATTGAGGGCCACCAGACTATCATAGGGTGATTTTCTTAGCTTCGGTTATTTGCCTCTGTTAATTTAGCTGAAAATCTTAGACATTGTTAGGAAGAGTTCTTTGCATGTCAGTAATGAACTCGCACTTTTAAGTGAATTAAGTTGGCCTTAGTTTCATCTTCTGCTTTACATTTTTTCAGTATTCGTACTCTTGGCAAATAATGCTTTTTATTCCAACTAACTACCAGGGATGCTGTGCAAGATTTTCTTCATGAAATATATTTTTTGCCTGATCATCCAGAATTAACAAAGATAAAAGCAGTTCTCCAGGAATACAGAAAGGTATTTAATTTTTTATTTATGGTTTGAGAGATCATTGATACATTCCAATACAATTCAATACATTGACTAAAGATCCTTTGGAATCATCTCTAGGGATAATATAGTCATATTCTGATGGCTAATTCCTGGTGACTGTATAATGCTACTATGAATCCATGACTTTTGGAGGGAAGTGTTAGCATTTAGATTAAAGATGTAATGGCATTAGATAGGACAAAGAGCAAAGAATACAGTTCTTGTGACTTTACTACCCAGGTCTGTATGTCCTTACTTACAGTCCCCAAAAGAGGAAGCCACTACTGCTGCATGCCATGAGAAGAAAGAAAAGCTGTGGGATGATTCTAGTTTTGTTTTGCTATAAACCATGGTATAGAAATGTCAGATCTGAATGATTCCTGAGCTTTAGAAGGGGAGTAATCTCTAGTTTCAGTATCTTCAAGTCTAGTGAGCTCTCTGAAATTATGAAAGTATAAATGGTGATTCCATAGCACTTCAGGACAGACAATGGGATATCTGAACTTGGGGGTCGCTTTGGGTAGTGAAAGGAAGGAGTGAATATCTGCATAATCTATAGACCTAGTTCAAGTCTATTATGTAGTCCTCTGTAAGTTAGGGGAAACTTGTACTTCTTGTCAAGAAGCATTTATTTTTAGATAAGTAGATTATTTAATTGGAATAAAATTTTTCTCCAGGTCTAAAGATTTTAGAATAAAATCATTTTCCCTGAGAACTACTAAAAATTATACATGCCGTAGAAAGGAAGAGATAGAAATTTTATTATTTTTTAAAACTGATTTTATTGATGTATAGTAGCGAATTCAGGCCTTTAGAAGTGGTTGTTAAAATAGTTAATAAGGTATGTCTCTCTGCACTCTTTATATAGGAGACTTCTGAGAGTACTAATCTTCAAACAACTCTTCAGCTATCTATGAAAGCAATTCAACATGAAAATGTAGATGTTCGTATTCATGCTCTTACAAGCTTGAAGGAAACCTTGTATAAAAATCAGGTACACTAAGGTGATATCATTAAATAGCCATAGAAAGGAAATATTTGAGGTTTAAAGAAAAGATGACAGATTGGCATTTTTGTTTGACATTCAGTAGATTCAATGAAAGAAGTTATTTTTATTTTACCTAGATCTTGAGATCTGACTAAGAATCAGTAATTCATGAGATTCCCTTTGAGCCTGAATCCCAGAGATTTGTAGAATTTTTTGTTGTTTTTGAAGAGTCATGATTTGATGGTTATACTTTACGTTACTGCATCTTCCTCAGTTACGATGTATATGTTTGTATACCAGCAGTTTATGTTTACATAAAATGTCGGCAATTTTGCCATTCTACACTTTGATTGAGTTAACTTTGTTAATTTTAATGAAGCTAAATTTTTAAGTTTACTTTTTCAAGGGGCTGGGGAACTTTATTCTTTTCCTTGGTAACATTATGTAGATTATCTCTAACCTTGTGATATGAGAATTAGCATTTAAAATACCAGAGTCCTATAAACATATACGTTGGAAAAAAATTAACCAAATTACTCATTTTTGTGTATCAAGAACCCATATGGTAAAATGTGAGAGCCCATGAGTTATTGTATTACAAAACTTGTTTCTTTCCATGATAGAAGCAAGTATTTACTTAGAACAAAAGATATACGTGATGGTAGTGAGTTCATGGCTTCTGGGGCAGTCAACTTGTATAACCAATGTGTGTAGCAGCCAATGTGGAGATGATCCCACCAGATGTGAGGAGCCTCGAATCTCCTCCAGTTTAGGTTTTATGCTGTCCTGTGGATCTACTCCCCAAAGTGGTTAACTTCCCTGGGAACCCTCCAGTGAGAGGGATCCCTTCCTCGGGAAATTAATGCCAAATTGGGGTTCTCTTCTTGCATTTATTTTCCAAACCAGGAAGTTACAGGAAGACAACATAGGTGGGGTTATAGTTTAACAGTATAGGCTGGTAACTTTCAGTGAAACAAGCCAGATGACATTCCAGTAGACAATTAAGTGATCGTATCAACATAAACTTGATCTTAGCAAACATTCCTTCTTACAGCAATTTCTCAGTATCTTTACATAACAATCAGTAACTAGTCTGTCCTTGAGCCAGCAACCCTGCTGTGCCACAAACCTTTATCTTACACCAGAGACTTACAGCCAGAGGGAAATGTCCTGTCCTTGCAAGGTCAATATTGGAAACTGCAAGACTTTGGAAAACCAGGCCCTGTGAAGTACATATGCTTTTTAGTATATTCCACACCTAGGCAGAATAAGAAGGGAATTGTACTTGCAGAAGTCCTGAGGGTCAGATTGAATAGTCTGAATAAGATATAATGGCCATAGATTGTTTTTTACAATCTGTAGCATTAGGCCATGGGATTTTTTTTTAACATAAGGATTAATTTAGTTTAGCATCTATATCTAGCTAGATAAATTTACGGTAGGTTGATTAAAAAAAAAATTAAAGGGAAGGAGGGCTTCAAGGATCCACGGGGACATAAGAAAAGAACAAGAGTCCAAAGACACATACATATCTTCCCCAGCAGATACTGGCCCAGAGAGAGACAGAAATGGATTCTTTCCCAGCTGTGGCAAGAAGATAGCATCAAAGTTGAAGATTGTTGAATTAAGCTCTAGAATAGCACTATCCAAAAGAACTTTTTGTGAGAATGAAACTGTTCTATATCTGCACTGTCTAATGGTAGCCACTAGCCACATGTGGCTCTCTTGAGCACTGAGGAACAGAATTTTTAATTTTAAGCTAAATAGCCATATGCAGACAATGGCTATTGTATTGGTGAGTACAGCTCTACAAGATGGCTGAGTCTATAGGAATGCCAGAGCATGAAACTGATGTAAGATAATAGGGTAACAGGCCAAAGAGTCTCTTTAGTGGATACTGTTAGAGTCCGTGAAAATACAAATGCAAAAGGTATTGTTTTAGAAGTTCATATCTTAGCCACAGGGAGAGAAAAAGACAGTCTAAGAGTAGTTTGAAAGGAGGTGTTTATTTTTAAATAGACCTAAAGTTGTGGTACAACTGGCTTAACAAATGTTTGGGTATAATGTGGCAACAAAGCAAACTCCAAAAGGTGATGTGAAAATTAATAAAGTGGTAGTTGGTGTAGCCTTAGATACTTGACTATTGTAATGGAGCGACCCTGCAAAAGCCCTGTACTGATGGGTAGCCACCATACAGTCACTGATGTTGAAGAGATGACAGCTTCTACTTCTTACTTTTAAGGAGGAATATACATTTTTGAAGGAATAAAGGACTACTAAGTTAAGTGGATGGCAGAAAATTTTGACTCCTATGTCCAAAAATCAGGCTAAAGATCGAAGTAAGAAAACATATAATCTCTTCCTGAAAATCGATGCTATTCAGGTTGAATAAATCCATTTGGTGAAATCCCAGAAGGATAAGAAGTCTATAAGAAGCCAAGATAAATTTTGAAGGCAATGCAGAATTCTAATAAAAACATGTATTTTACTTGATTACAAATCAGAGAAGAACCCACTGAAAATAGTGCTGCTAGAGACTTGCAGGATGTCCTAGGATAATGGTGGATGCCTAATTCTGAATCTCTACATACCCTCCAAAACATCATAAAAAGCAACAAAGGAGAGCAAATAAAGCCATACATAATTCACAACTTCAACATAACTATGAGACTCAGATTACTATGAACTTTAAATTACTTGTAACTAGCAGAGGTATCTCTGGAGCTCATGTCTCAAGCTCGTGTTGAGACCAGTTAGATTCTAAGGAGACTGTATAAAAAGGAAGAAAGTGGAGAAAGAGGAACCAAGAATGATGGAGCAAAGATAAAACCACCAACAAAAAGGGGCAGTCCCACTCTAAGTGCAACATTACTCAAAAAAGGTCCAAAATGTGGTACATCAGAGTATTGATTACAGGGAAAATACATCCCAAGGTTGTAATCTCTGCAAATCATTATTTCCAGGAAGAAGTAAAAGAATAGGGAGGGGAAGGTACTCTTTGTAGACGTAATTATAAACAGAAAGAAAAAAGTAAGAGGGAGAACTTGAAGGGTCCTGCAGAAATAAACGAAATTTACAAATTGAAGACCTACCGTATCCATTCCCTCCTGCCTGCCACCCCACCCCATTGCACTTCACTATGCTGATGTGGGTACTCATGAGATAGGAATCTTGAAAGCACTACAAAATGCTTACTCTTACTAATAGAGCTGTTACGGAGGGTCCACACTATGAAAAGAAAAAATATGTATTCTATGTGCATACAAGGTTACTGTAAGACAAAAGAGAAAATGAAAATAAAGTCTTTCAGTTGATGACAATTCCTTTTAAAAACTAGTTGGTGGAAGACAGTGAAAGAAAACTGAACTTAGCACTGTAACTTAAATCAAATATTTCAAGCAAGTATTTACAGATATTTAAAATTTTTTCAATAAGAAATTGAAAAAATGAGAGAAATGGACAAAAACCAAGAAGATATGAAATGAAAGTGGCTGAACTCGGGAAAGAAATTGAAGAAATGAAAATTAAATTACAAAGATCACAGGGTAGAATTTATTTGACTGAAAATTTAGTAAGGGGCAATGAGTAAAAGCATACAAAATAATCGAGAACAAAAATGAGGTAAAGAAAGTAAAGAAAATCAAAGAAAAAGTAGTGACGGAGGATTGGCAAAGAAGATTTTACGTACAAATAATTATATTCTGTGAAGAAAAAAACCAAACAATAGAACAGAATTGATATTTAAAACTATAATCCACAAAAGCTTTCTGGAAATAAAAGACTAATCTACATATGGAAAGGACCCATTGTGTAATGGAGAAATTTGGCCCCAGAATAGTCCATTCTAAAACATATCCTAGACATTAGTAATAAAAAATCTTCAGGGTTTACAGGCAAAAAAAATTTTTTTGAAAAATCACTTCCAAGGGCTAGAAAAGTAGGTTGGTCTTATAGTAGGCAATATTCAGAGTGGGTCTAAAGGATAGCATCATTTTCAAAAGCATCAAGGCCTTAAAGTATGAGTCAAGAAAGAGCCAAGCTTCCTTAGAGTATCATGAATAAAAACATGTTTTAAACATACAAGACTTTAAGGAACACTGTTTTTACAAGTGAGCCCTTCCTAAGAGATATATTAGAGGATGTTTTATTCAGTCAAGAAATGACTGGGGAGACTTTGGCAAAAGGACTATGGCTACTATTTATATATAGTCATGTGCTGTATAGCAACATTTCAGTGAAGGATGGACCACATATACAACAGTGGCTATATCATGTAATGTAGATGTATATAGTAAGACCATAGACTCTTTGTTTATGTAAGCACTTTCTTTGATGTTCACATAATGACAAAATCACCTAACAACACATTTCTCAGAATGTATCCCCATAATTCAGCCACACATGACTGTATTTAACTGTAGATCTAAGACTAAATCAACAGTGAGTCAAAGATGGGAGAATTGTGTGTAAATGTTACTTATTCTAATAAAGTAGAAATAATGCAATTTTTTAAATGGGAGGAGAACAGAGTAAGGAGCAAATAAAATAAGCTCAGTAATTGTTGAATAAGCAATAAATGGGAAACAAGGCCTAGGGTTTTATTCTCCTTACTGGCCAGCTGCCAAAAAATAAAATAAAATAAAATAATACAAAACTGGCAAACTAGTTATAGAAAGTTAAATAAGAAAAAAAGGGACTGTGGACATCTTTTTTTTTT